ACAGGCCGGATACTTGACTGTTCTCGAGCACTGAATTACCACGATAACCAAGCCACCAATCTGAGAACCATTACATCGTTTTCTGTTTGGACCAGTATATGTATTAGTCTTTGGTAGTCTATAAACTAGTTTATGTCAATTATTGGCTATTAATCTCAATAATATAGCTATACTTAGTCGTGAGTTATCCAAAACTTTATTACATTAACCGTCCAAACTCTTCTCAAAGATTTGCAACATTTTTAAAGATCGTTTAAACAGAATTATCAAACGATATTGAAGTCTATTCTTGAGAGATTTGTATGTGAGTGTGATTCTGTGAAGTGAGTGAAAGTGATTCTGAATCTAAATCAAACTTTAGAGTGAATCTATTATTGGTTACAAACAATACAAACGCTACAAATATACAGTTGTAGGGCGTAAAAAAAATATTAAATATAAATTTTTATATGTAAAATAACTGCAAAAAGGAGAAAAATTAAAATGTAAAATAGCTGCAAGTCATTCAAGTTTAAAGATATGATAGTGTTCACTTAATTGTACACCATGTCAGTCCAACCAGTCTTTGCGGCCTCTCTTTCTTATTCGAGGCATCAGCATCACATCTTCATGTTCAAATTCACTCATCCTCTTCTGCATGAGGTAAATCATTGCCATACGGTGGCAATAAATGAACAGAATATTGTTTCCATTTATAATTGTGTGTTTGGCAAAGAAAGGAAGGACCAGTGTGCAGCAGCATGCAGTTAAGTGTGTCTGTCCGAATGATTGTTTATGCATATTCATAAAAATCAAGTTTGTTGCTTAACACTATTGTTTTTTATGATTTTGTTTTAAGAAAAAAAGAAGAAAAAATACCTAGACAAATACCTAAATGTGTTTAGTTTTGTTTTATATTTAAAAGTAAATTGTAAGAATTTTTTAAACTATAATTTACTTTGCAGTTTAAGTATTAAGTTATAAGTATTACTAGTGTTTTTTTTTTTTTGTAATTAGCCAAAATATAACAAACAGCATGTTAATTAATTAGTTAAACAATTTTCATAAATGGCATTAGATATATTTTAATACTAAAGAGACTAAAATAAGTGTTTAATTTTAACAATCGCAATTTTGTCTGTTCTTTAACCAGTTTAATTGCCTTAACAGTGTTTTAAATGCTTAGAGATAAATTAATAAATTCATCTAAACTGTTTTTATATATTAAAATCCAAAATAATGCTATATTCCACCATTAACGATTTATCCATGTCCCTCTATCAGGAAGATGGTAAATGGCTAGCATATATCCAGATCCTTAAGAGACTACAGCTCAGCTACATGATGGCTGTCATTACCATTTATTGCAAACCTATCCACCATGCTAGAAAACTTAGCATACCGTCTTGAAGATATACATATGTCTAAAATTTCTAAAACAGCTCCTTTTTGATGAAATATCAAAGATATCTAGTGAAAAATTAGAAAACCTGCAGCTAGTTTAACCGGTTAAGTAGGAAGATCACAGATATTACAAAAAGATTAAAAGGGCCCAATTAAGTTTTGTCTGAAACCTGAACTCTTAAATAGATCTCATACAACTAGATCACCAAATATTACTTTAGAGATCATACATGTATTATTACTATGTTTATTTTTTAACTTATGATGTAGGGTATCAAATGTTTATGCATGATCGACCATACTTGCTTTTTATTTGTTTACTTTTTTATAATTATTTCAAGATTCATTACGAAATACACATAGAACTTATTATACAAATTCATTAGTATTTCTCAGTTTAGACCACTGACTATATAAAAATATGATCTACAACAATCTCGAACACTCTACACAGCTTATCGTTTTATTCTTGAATATATGAGCGATAAATATCTAAATAAATATTTATGTCTGTCCAATTGATTTATAACTGCTTTATATGCTACAAGTAATACATAAACATATCCTGTTTGAAAAATATGCATGTAATTCTATACAAATGAAGATGTCTTGTAATTGTTAAAAATTGACATATATCTGTCAATTTAAAACCAGTTTAAATTATTTGTAGTTAGTTAACTGTTTCTAAACTTTAGCAGACGTTTACTTATTTTAATTACCTAAAACATTTACTTTTGTAAATTTATGACGCCAAATAAAAACATACATATGTATGTATGTGGCGGAAATAAGCAAAGTATGCAAAGGCAACACAATTCTTTAGTATGATATTAATAAGAAAATATGTTAAACGCCAAAGAAGTTCTATATTTATACATTTGATAACTGGGCTATCAAGAGCTAGCTTATTAAACATCTAAAAAAACGTCATCAAATATTTATTCTGGTTACAAATCATAAATATTACACTACTCAGTACTTAATGAAAACATGTAAGAAAGTATAGTCCAGTATGGTCGACCATATGATACCCTACCTCATGTCGAATTGTTATTGATTATTGATGAATATCTAATTATGAGACTCTAATGAGACTATTCTCAAATATAGATCGATTCTCATAAAATTTGGTGGATGGATTAAATGTTAGTTGTACCGATGTCAATCATTTTCCTCGGGTCAAACGAGGTGTATGATTATGTATGATGGGAGCTTGGTCCCTATATGGTTTTGTAATTTCATTCACATTTATGAAACTAATTTTGATAGACCTTTGTGGACTTTTTATAGGACCTACGATCAATTATTTCGTATCAAAACCTATTCCAATCAAATTTTGCCCAAATATCTTCATATTTCAATGTATTCGTGTAAGCGAATTTCGAACGATGGCCCTTTATGTGGGCTATGACTAAAAATGGGCCAATCCGAACAAAATTTCCCAGAATAATTTAGGGTATCTAAATTTTATCCCGTTATCCTTATATATTTATGAAATATGTGGGATTAAGTGACTTTCGAAAGTGCACGTTATATGAGAACTATGAACAATTATGGACTGATCTGCAAAAAGAAAAACAATTAAAGTGTGACAAAATTCATCCAATTATCTTTAGTAGTTTCTGAGACAAGTATTCAAGAATTAAGAAAAAACGTCATTTGTTTCGAGGTAGTCTGAAATTTTTACTCATAACTTTTAAGGATGTGATTTTCATACCAAACTGTACCGAAAAATAATGAATATTTTGGGTTAATTTCATTTTAACGTGAGAGTATTTTACACAGACACCTGCCTTGACGGCCTTATTTCACGGTGGTCTTTTTCATCCACTGGGTAGACTTGAGAGCGGCCTACCACTCGCCCCTGAATTCTTCTATGAAGAAATCAGGTTGCAATCTTTGAACATGGCTGAGCCGGTCCATGTACAAGCACTTTGCTAAAGTGCTGGTGCTATCTAATCACATGCCAAGTGATCATGTTGCGAATAGACAGGTAGCAAGCTACCCCGACAGGCTGAAAAATACCGACGAATCGAAAAAGAAGGGGTCAACTAAGACTCGGGATCGATCCACACAGGTAGTATTAACAATCATTAGTCGCGCAACCACATCACGGGCATCTGTTGCTTCGGCAACAGCACCTAAGGACAAATTGGTAGATCGAATCACTGATTCCTTAATAACTTGACAAGACTTATTTCATTGGCCATTAGGAGCTACTGCTTTATGTTAAGCATGATTGGAGTAAACTCCAAACAGCAAAATTGCCGATAAAACAAAGATTAAACATCGTCACCAAACCGTTAAAAACCCAGCAATCATACTTAAGTATGCAGCAAAACACGTCCCATCCGACACTTCCATCTCTTTCGACACTTCCATCTCTTCCGACTCTCTCATCTCTTCCATCAGATACATCATATCCAACAGTCAACACATCATTTTAATGATCAATCATTGCGGCGGACGGACGGATACAGCTAAATCGACTCAGAATTTCATAAGGACCAAGAATATATATACTTTGTTGGGTATCAGATGAATATTTCTTTTAGCTAAACACGGAATGACAAACTTATGTACACATACATATGATGGTGTTGGAGGGCATAAATAAGAGCCGGAGTTTAGAAAGTCAAGAATTAAATGCAAACAAGCCTGTCTACCATTTTCACATATGGATTAGAGGAAAACGAAAGACTTAAGTAGGAAACTTTTTCTATATATTTATAAATTTGCTGGAAAATCCCTTTTTTAAAAAAACAACAAAGCTAACATTATTAACACGCCCTTTTTATTAAAACTAAAGTGTGCTTTTGTACATACATAATTTATATAGTATAATAAATAAATCTATGTAAATTGTATAGTTTTTATAAATAATTTTATATAATTTTTATTTTTTTCGTACGTTCGTACTTTTTTTTGATATTTTCTTTCTTTATTTTGTGTCAACCATTATTTTGATATTTTTTTCAATGGATGTACATACGATCAACTAAATATAATAACAACAAGTACAACAGAAATATGAGTACTTAGAAAACAATGGGTTTCTTCCACGGGCCTACAGTTTTAATGTTGCCAAGGTGAATACATACGTAAATACCGTCATAAGTACGACTATGTACATGTATATATGTATGTATGTATTTTCTATATACGAAATAAAGAATATAAAGCGTTTAATAACGATATTACTTGCATTTTGATGCCTATCAAAATCGCATAAGCTAAACCCACAGAATACCAAATTAAGGAATTTCTGCTTTACAAACGAATCGTAAACAACAGCAAAAACAACAACAACATCAACAACCATGCGACTAAAGAAAACATTAAATCGTAGGTCTTTTTCTGTTTCTTATAAAATCGCTTTTTATCTTTACATTTTTTATTATATTTTCAGTATGATTTTTATTTTGATTTTAGTTTTATTGTATACAAGCGTCTCATGGTGACAATGTGACAAGAAATTTCTATATAATGTTGTACAGAGTTTGTAAGAGGTATGTATGACTCTTTTTTTTTTTTTGTTTTCTGGCTTTCAATTTTTTTTGGTTTGTTTATTATTGGGATAAAGACAGAAAACATATAAAAATACAGCTAAAACGCACCTTTAAATGTTTGACTTCTTATTGGATTTTGATTTTCTGTGCGTTGTGGTGTAGATTTGCCGTTGCTTTTTGAGTTTTGTTCAAAACAACCAGGAACACAATAATCCGATTTTATTATTTTACAATAAAGATTTTGCTGATGATGATGACGGTTTATCCACTTATAAATCTGATTTATTTTTTTTTTTTTTTTTGTAAATGATTTTGTATTTTTTTCTTATATTTTTTGTATAATATTATAAATTCCAACTTGTTAAGGTTTGATATTTATTCTGGTTTTACTTTATGTTGCACTTGATTGATGAAATAATAATTTCTTTTTGTTTTGCAATTAAATGCAGGTTCACTTTACTTATATATTACTTTAAATCACTTTGTTTCTTATTGTATACATCTTAAGACTGTTAAGTCGAATTTGAAAATTTTCTTAAAAAAAATATATATAAAATTTCTTCTTTTCATACAAATTTTAATCACTTTGTTTTGTTTTTTTTATAAATTTTCTTATTTGTTTTTTACAAACTTGACGTAAACGATCATATTATTCCGTTTAATAAACAAGCGTTCAACAGGTGTTACAACCGTTCGCGTATGCGTTTACTCTCAAACTGATCGTATCAATCTACAAAAGCCCAAAAGCGCTCATTTATTGTTGTTATTGTTATTTGTTATGGTCTCTTGTTTATTTCTCATACTTGTTTTTGTTTTGTCTTTTACAATTTCCGTTTCAATTTCGTTCTTAACTTGGCTTAGTTTGTTTATATTTTTTCATCATGCTGTCCGACATGTTCGCTTGCAACTTGTTTGAGAGATCACGATCACGACGAGAACTATTGTAAAGAAAACGCGGCTTTTATTTTCATGCGCTTCCAATAGATATTTTGTTTACATTCATTTGACATGTAATTTGTAATTTGTTTTTTGGTAATTAAGATGAAGATCATTTGTTAAGTTAGGTTTTGGGTTTCCTATAGATTTTTTTTGGTTACGTTTTTTTTATGTAGGCTATAATTACATCTACAACACACTTATAGATGTGTAATTGAAATATGTATGTATGTAGTTGGTTAAAAACTAGCACATTTGTAAAATAAATCGACTTTTATGCGTTTGATCTTTGACAGGAATTATATGCCGTTAGCGATTTCGTGTGAAATAATCAAAGTAAAATAATTTGGGGCTTAATTGTTTCAAATAAAGTCTAATGCAAGAAATTTGAATTTTGAGCAAAGAATTCTTAATATGTAAAGCATGGTCCGAACTGTTTTTTTTATACCCTACACCACTTTAGTGGGGAGGGCTTGTAAAGCTTGTAATCGAACTACAGGTCGCAATTTTGAAGATAATTCAATGAAATTTGGCACAAGATCTTCTATTGTCCCAGGGATGAAGTCTATTGAAAATGGTTAACATACATAGGTCCATTATTTCACCTAGCCCCCATACAACTGAACCCCCGAATAGGGCTTGTAAACCTTGTAATCAAACTACAGGTCGCAATTTTGAATATAATTCAATGAAATTTGGCAGATGATCTTCTATGGTACCGGAGACGAAGCCTATTGAAAATAGTTAACATCGGTCCATTTTCTCACATAGCCCCCATACAACTGAACCCCCTTGTAAACCTTTTAATCAAACTACAGGTCGCAATTTTGAAGATAATCCAATGAAATTTGGCAGATGATCTTCTATGGTACCGGAGACGAAGCCTATTGAAAATGGTTAAAATCGGTCCATTTTTTCACCTAGCCCCCATACAACTGAATCCGACGAATAGGGATTTTATGTTTATAATTATGTTTAATATACTCGTATCTCGACAAAAAGCTGCAAAACCAAGTTCTATACTAGCCTTGATGACTCTCGTGAATTTCATAATTATAGGGTCTCATTTGACCATAGCTCCTATACAAATCCCCCTCCAAAATTTGACTTAAATGTCCACAATTTTATTCAGCAATAAATGGCTTAAGTATGATTCAAGGCAAGGAGAAATTCAACTTAAATGCTCTATTATGAAAACTAAATCACATTTTATTTTTGTAACAGGTGTAGGGTATTATATGGTCGGCCTCGCCCGACTATAATTTCTTACTTTTTTTTTTTTTTTTTGTAATTATACCCTACACCACTTTAGTGGGGAGGGTATATTGGGTTTGTAACATACAAACGTATTCGTCCAATACCCACCTTAAAGTATACCAATCGGCTTAGAATCATTTTCGGAGTCGATTTAGCTATGTCCGTCCATCTGTCCGTCCGTCCATGTAAACATTGTAATCAAACTACAGGTCGCAACTTTGAAGATAATTCAATGAAATTTGGTACATGATCTTCTATTGTCACAGGGACGAAGCCTATTGAAAATGGTTAGGATCGGTCCTTTATTTCACCTAGCCCCCATACAACTGAACCTCCTAATAGGGCTTGTTAACCTTGTAATCAAACTACAGGTCGCAATTTTGATGATAATTCAATGAAATTTGGCACACGATATTCTATGATATATGATATTAAAAATGGTTAACATTGGTCCATTATTTCACCTAGCCCCCATACAACTGAACCCCCGAATAGGGCTTGTAAATCTTGTAATCAAACTACATGTCGCAATTTTGAAGATAATTCAATGAAATTTGGCACATGATCTTCTATGCTAGACGATGCCTATTGAAAATGGTTAACATCGGTCCATTATTTCACCTAGGCCCCATACAACTGAACCCGCCGAATAAGGCTCTTAAGTTCATAATTATGTTTAAAATACTCGTATCTCGACAAAAAGCTGCAAAACCAAGTTCTATACTAGCCTTGATGACCCTCCAAAATTTTATAGTTATAGGGTATCATTTGATAATAGCCCCCTTCAAAATTTGACTTAAATGACCACAATTTTATTCAACAATAAATGGCTTAAGTATATCTGAGGCAAGGTACAATTCAACTTAAATGTATTATTATGAAAACTAAATCACATTTTATGAAAACTAAATCACTATTATATATATTTTAGCCTGAAGAAACTTTTGAAATAGAAGGTATATTTACCATTAGAAGTAGTATGAAGTACATGGACAGTTGCTTGGCCTTTATATTCCTTGAGCTTACATTGTCAAGAACAGTGTCAGATTTTTGAGGAGTATTTAGAAAATTTATAATTTTATAATAATACTTGTCAGAGAAAGGTTCCCCCCTGGTGCATATTACCTTAATGAGTCTTCCCCCATCTTGGTATTATGGCAATGCCGGAGAAAAAAGGTGCTACCAATGCCTCTAGTCTGTCGGGACTATAAACTGGTGATGATCAAATGTATCATCGTTCTTTCCTTGGAATGATTTGACATGGAGTCGAACCAGTGAACCACATAATCTGGTACCACGATAACCGGTAGCCCACTTTCGGACTTTGTCTTTCCGCTATTTTTCTCAATGATTCTGTCGGATGAATAAGAAGTGTGCTGCGTTCTATGGTAATATGTGTAAGGTATCTTGTACAAGTGATACCATTGAATTGTCCTGCCATGTCTGGGTATGTTCAGGGTTTACTTTGTTCCTACCATATTTCTCTGTAGATAGGAACAGGTTCGACTTATTCGTTGGATTCTTATTTCGGTCTACCGATGACGTCTGTAGGTGCTGTTGCCGACTCAACAGACGTCATCCCATATGCGTGGTTTTAAACGGAAGTGATGTTTAGCATCGGGCAATAGGCCAGCAATGGTCAGAGATTAAATAGCTCGAGTACTTGCTATCGGCATATAAGATGAAAAAGACCAACGTGAAATTATGTAGGCCTTCAAGGCAGGTGTTCACGTATATTAAAAAAACCTAAATACTCTTTTCTTTCCAGGACTTTCTCAGATCGAACAAGAACTTAGCCGTAGTCCATAAGAAGTTTTCAGTGAACCTGAGAATGTCGATTCATTACCATATCTTCATTTAGAAGTCTTAAAATATTTACCTTAATATCCATTTGGAAATCTCCAAACCTAAGCCTTCATAATTTTACTTTTATATATAATTAAAAGAATAGTTTTCTAGTTGAATGTTAATTATCTTGTTTAGTTCTACTTTTTTTTTTTTTTTGAAATTTTAATTAATTATAAAACAAATTGTTTATAATGTTTTGCTGACCATAAAGCAAAATGATGCATCATTAAATATTCTTTATTCGAATGTATTCACATAAAGAAAAAATAAAAGTTTGATATACGTTCTGTGCAATTAACAGGGATGGTTTTTTGCATACATAAATATAAATGCAATAAATGTTTAGATTAAAATGTGAGCTAGTGGGTTTAAAATAGAGAATACTGGTTAACCGAATTGTTATAGTCACCCTTCAATTTCGAAATAAGTAATTTGCAATTTTGTTGAGAACTTTGTTAATATAATAAATTATTTATATAATGCAATTTTTTTAATATTGAAATTTTATAATGCAATGCTAATAGTTTGCTACTAGTAGGAGTACTTTGGGTTGAATTTGTAAGTTGTAATAATGATGCACTATAGTCTAAAAGTCGTACTAAACTACAAATAAGAACGTCACTAGATAATTGTTGAATTGTATACGTTTTGTTTGGGCCATAATAAAAATATGCCATTAATCATTTTTATGTCTATGTAAATTATCTTTTGTTCATTTCATTGCATTTGGCTACTTACAAATTTATTTCTACAGATACAAACAACAAAAAATCACAACACTACAATCAGCAAATTTAAAATATGTATGTATGTGCAACTGCACAAGTATTATATATTGAATACTAGCTATACCCAGTGTGCTTTGCTACCCTAAAAGCAATATGTATAAATAAAAACCCCACTTAACGATTTTGAAGATTCTAACTACAATAGTATTCCAGATTTATAATATGTTACATATGAGAGATGTCAAGCAAATTATTGCAAGTTCGCCAGTTTCTATCTATCACCAATTTCTATCTATGAAAAATTTGAATAACATAAGAGTTTCCAAGATACACGATGCCAAGCCACCCATTGAAAGTCCGCCCGTTATGCTCTAAATGATCACATGAATGTCAAAGTTCTTCATGTAAAATTTGAAGATATACGATATAAGAATTTTTCTATTTGATTCATGTGGGGGCTTCAAGCTCCCCAGATGAAAGTCCGCACTTTTTCCTCCAAAGTGTTCAGATGAATATTAAAGTAATTTGTGCAAAATTTTAAGAATCAAGCTCTATTAGTTGCCCAGATATATGAAATTTTATATTTAATTCATATAGGAGGTGCCAAGTTCCCCATTGAAAGTCCGCCCGTTATACTCAGATGAATGTCACGATTCTTCAAGTTAAATTTTTAAGATTCTAGCTCTAATCATTTCTCAGATATACGAATTCTTCTAGCGGCGCTTAAAGCACGAAGCCCCCTAATGCTATTCCGCCTACTTTTTTTACTAAATAATCATATTGACACTAAAGTTGCTCCGACAAAATTTGAGGACTCTAACTGTTATATGATCTCAAATATACGGATTTAATATTTTATAAATATGGGCGTGGCTCCTCGCCCACTTAGAATTTCAAAATAAAAAGTAGCCTATTATCTATATACAGGAATACGCTGTGAAAATTTGAAGAAAATCGGTTCAGCCGTTTATTAGTCTATAACGTTCAAACATACAAACATACAAACATACAAACAAACACACATACATTTTTATATATATGGGTATAGTATATTTTTTATAAGTAAAATGTGTAAAAATGCTTTTAGAAGATCATTTTTGCTGCGTCTACTGTTCGGCAATAAAATACAAACATACATTTTTATGCATCATTAAAAAAAGTTTAACAAAAAAAAATTGCTTTTAATTCATTTTTATGTTAGTTTCTACTCTATAAGTCTTCCTAAACTACTTACTCTTCTAGACCAAGTCTCCAGCAGGTTGGTTGGTTGTTTGGTAGTTAGATACAACCAAGTTCAAGGTCAATATTACAAACATTCACTTGTTTTTACACATTTGTTTTTGTACATGTGAATCATTTAATGGTTTTACTTCACTTGTTGCAAGAAATGTAAAGGTTAATTAATGATTTTTTGTTGCATTTTGCATTCAGCTTTTTTTATCAGCCAGACTAAACTAAACACTTTCCCATGGTGCAAGTGTGTATTTAAAATGTGATCACATGAATTTATAATCTCATCAACAACTTTTAGGTCAGTTAAATGTAGGTTTTATCGCTGTTGCGTTTAACAAATTTGACTTTGGAATACAGTTATTGACAATGTTAAACCTACAGTTTAACTGAAAATTTTTAAATTGTTTTTAGCTATTTCCTATTTATTTCTCCTCCAAGCCAGAGTTACACCTTGAGTTAAATAAGAT